GGGGTGCGTTCCAAAACTCGACTCTATCAACTCGGAGTACCTTTTATCCTTGTTTAACATTCGGTGAAGAACAAGGATAAATAATACTCGGAGTTGTTAGAGTCGAGTTTTGGAACGCACCCCTGCTGAGATAGGACCATTCTTCTAGATCTAAAAGTATGATCCAATTAGCGCGAAGGAAACTTCCAACAGTTGCAAAACCAATGTTCTGCTGAACGCAGCCATTGGAACATGTTGCCCATGTTGGAGTTTGCGACGCGAACGAACCTCGAGTCTTCGCTGGCTTCCCGTTCACTTCGTAAACCAAATGGCGATTTTTGTCAATTTGTATTTTTTGACGTATATATAGCAATAATATAGGCCGTATCAAATCTGTTTTCGGAGATCACGTGCCGTAAAAGAAAAAGAAGATATACATAATATGTATAATAGCATTTATTAATTTTACTCGAAAATTGTGCATTTATGTTACTATGTCGAAAGCCAAAGTCACAGCGGAATGGAGAAAGAGGGTAAAGTCGGAGTACATGCGATTGCGACAAATGAAACGCTATAAACGAGCAGACGAAGTAAAGATCGCGTGGAACAAAAATCGCAAAGTTATGACAGGCAAGTATTTGCCATTGCAATGCTAAAAAGTAATAGAATAGAATTTTCCCTCCAACATTACAAAGCCAAGAAGAAAACGTGATCCACATTTTTCTATGTCCTCACACATCCTTTCATCCTTTATGCTCTATTTTTAAATCTAAATCCTAACTATCTGATCTTTTTCAGTCTGTCTTTATTTCTCTTCTCTTTATTTCTATCAACTTCTAATTTTTATTTATGTCTATACCTCACAGCTAAATTCTTATTCGTTGTCTCCGTACAGTTTTTAATTTTCAGCCATTCTTCTTTCTTTACTATCTTTCTCACTGTATTGCTTCTTCTATCTCGTTGTCTTTTTGGTTCTTCAATTTCTTTCTGTATTGGCCATTATCTAAACATGATGCTAAAAAGTAATTATAATAGTTACTTGTCAATATTAGCATACAACTTTGTATTGTAATAATTGTTTATGATTATTTGTTGAATAGAGCTTCTTGTGGCTGAACAAAAGCGTTGGACAGATGGAAAGGCAACGTGGCTGGCAATGCAAGACATTCCACCTCATCTTTCTTGTATGAAGAAAGCTGAAATTACTAGTCCTGATGGCGATGTGCAAAGTTGTCCTGTAAAAATAATTAATGCAGTGACTCCTATACCAACCATGTATACATGGGCTCCCATTCAACAGAACTTTATGGTGGAGGATGAAACCGTTTTGCATAACATTCCTTATATGGGCGATGAGATTTTGGATCAAGATGGTACCTTTATCGAGGAGCTTATCAAAAATTATGATGGAAAGGTATGAAGAATAATCAAAATATGAGAATAATAATAGATATTTTCATACAGTGTCAGGGCCATGGCACACAAAAAACTGAAGTAGTAAAACATAATTTTAGTAAAATATAAACAGTGAATTGGTCAATCATAATAGAGATTATATAATAAATCCAACATATTGATTTCCTTATTGCTTATATCTTACTGCTTAAATTTTTCTGTGTGCCATAACTCTGACACTGAATCATTTCTTCATTCTTGTTTAATATTGATGATAAGACAACAAGGATGTAATGGTTCATTATGTTATTGACTGTATCAACTATGTTTCTTGCTGGGAACACTACATGTGGTAAATTTTGTTGTCACTTACTTTATTGCAGGTCCATGGTGATAGAGAATCTGGTTTTATGGATGATTCTATTTTTGTCGATTTGGTGAATGCTCTAGCAAATTATGAGAGAGAAGATAAGGACAAGGAACAGGTAAAGAAAGGAAAGGAATCCTTAAAAGAGAAAGAAAATCAAAAGGAAAATGACAAGAAAGATGAAATAAAGGTTGAAATAAATACAGAAAAAACTGAAAGTGGGAAGACTGCTGCTACTCCATTTCCATCAATGCATATATTTAATGTAAGGAAATTATATAAATATCGAAATATAACATTATATAGTATAATCCTATAACATAATTGCTTTATAATTATTTTCAGGCAATATCGAGCATGTTCCCCGATAAAGGAAGACCTGAAGAATTAAAAGAAAAATATATTGAATTAACAGAAAGATTCGATCCAAATGTTTTACCGCCAGAATGTACGCCTAATATAGATGGTATAAATGCAAGAAGTGTACCTAGAGAGCAAACGATGCATTCTTTTCATACTTTGTTCTGCAGGAGATGCTTCAAGTACGACTGCTTCTTACATCGTGAGTATACTGCAGTGAAACAATATATTTAACGATTATTTAAGTTGTATTTTGTGAAGTAGATTGCAAAAGTAATATTGTCTTTAATACTTATTATGTATTCACTTATTAATATAGGATAATACTTTTAGAGATAAAGTAGAATCAATGACTTATAAGAATACTTTGTTGAAATACAACTTACTGAAGTATTGTATAATATTTTAAGTGTTCTAAATTGAAAGTTTATTAATTACAATAATTTGTGATTCCTGATTTATCGTAGCAGCCAGGGGGACCTCGCCGCAAGGTAAAGAACAATATTGCATACAAACTAATGCATTATCGATCGGAAGCTTTTTTTTGTTTAGCACAGAGACATCGTCAAGGGCTCATCTGCAATCATATTTCATTCATCGTTCATCGCTGTGTCTACTAAATTTTTCTCAATTCACTATGCCAAATTAGCCGACAAGAGTACATAGTGAGTTTATGATGTTGCTTGTAGGTCTTCAAGTTTGCCATCCAGGTCCGAACTTGCTGAAACGAAAAGGACCCGATTTGAAACCGTTTTCGGAGCCATGCGGGACTGAATGTTACATGCATTTGGTACATTATTATGCTTTATTTTAATAGAATGTGTTATCCTCAAAGTCAGATTTGTGTGTGATATAACTTTGATATAACTTTTTATGTAGGAGGGGATGAAGGAGAAACTGGCGGCACAGGCGGCGGATATAAAAGAAGACGAAGGTGACGAGAAACGCGGTGGTCCTAGGAAGGTACGAAAACAAGCAAGCGTCGACTCTGGAAACGAAGCGAGCAGCGAGGATAGTAATGATAGCAATAAATACGGTCAAGGAGGCAGTTGTCAAGGTTAATATATAATTCATTAATCTATTATAATTTGTAGATTTAGATTACATGTGTATATTTTAAATTTTAATGCAATTCTAAGAAGTCTTTTTTTTCAAATTAGACTTTAAACAAAACGTTAACAAAAATAACTCCAAATCTGAAGAAATGATGGAGGATCAAGCACAACCTGAAAATCAGGCACCCTTCACGTTATTAGGAATTGGCGAACGAATTAAGAATACTGAAAGTGAATTCTCATGGACAGGTTCAGAACAGAGCTTGTTCCGAGCTCTTCACAAAGCCTTCCCTGGCAATCCATGTGCATTAGCACAAATTATGTTAACGAAAACTTGCCAGGAGGTTTATGAATTTGCACAAAAAGAAGCTTCAGATATTAAAAGAAGAAGAAGCATCGGTTATGGTCCATGCATTGCAGAAAGATACAACTTAAAAAAGATTCTGGTATATTCATTAATTAATTAAAAAAATTTTTAAGCTTAAATTATGTTTCTTTCGATTCCTAATTATATTTCTTTCAATAGGTGCTAATCATGTTCATAATTTCGCACCTTGTGATCATCCGGGTCGGCAGTGCGATAATTCATGTCCCTGTATACAGGCACAGAATTTTTGTGAAAAATTCTGTCAATGCAGCAGTGAGTGCCAAAACCGATTTCCTGGTTGTAGATGTAAGGCTCAGTGCAACACGAAACAATGTCCGTGTTATTTAGCTGTAAGGGAATGTGATCCAGATCTCTGTCAAACGTGTGGCGCTGATCAATTCCATATCACTAAAATATCCTGTAAAAATGTCAGCGTGCAACGTGGTCTTCGTAAGATTAATAAATTTCAAATATATATTATTAAAAACAACAAAGATATACACAAAATATAAGAAAATGTTATTTATAGACAAGCATCTTCTAATGGCACCTTCAGATGTGGCAGGATGGGGAATTTTTCTGAAAGAGTCAGCGGCGAAGAATGAATTCATTTCAGAGTACTGCGGTGAAATTATTAGTCAAGATGAAGCCGATAGAAGAGGAAAGGTATATGACAAATACATGTGCAGTTTTCTCTTCAATCTTAACAATGGTAAGTACAACGTAAGTACAATAAACATAATAAATAACTGAAAATGAGATTTTAAAAGGATATTTTTTAGATTTTGTCGTTGATGCAACAAGAAAAGGGAATAAAATAAGATTCGCCAATCATTCAATAAATCCCAATTGTTATGCGAAAGTAATGATGGTGAATGGTGATCACAGAATAGGTATTTTTGCTAAGAGAGCGATACAACCTGGTGAAGAATTATTTTTTGATTATAGGTATATTATGTAATATTATATAATATTGTTTAATTAATTTATCAATTGTATAATTGGAACTGTATAAATGACAATTTTTAGATATGGACCAACTGAGCAACTGAAATTTGTCGGCATCGAACGGGAAATGGAATTTCTTTAAGAATTTATATTTTATATATACATAATCACACTTATATAAATAAAACACTAAACGCAGATGCATATTGAAAATGAAAAATATATATAAGTACAAAATAAACATTTGTGTAATTCATTTATCAATATGATAAAAGTATATTCCTTTATTTTTAAAAATTAATTTCTCTGTCTTTACTTTATTTAATAAAATAAATCAAATCGCTTAGTATTATAACATTAATAAATTTTATATATATATATATAAGAAAAAATGTAAGAAAAATTTCAGGAAATTTTATAATTTTAATTTTCCTTTTTTAAATATGTAAGTTTCATGTACTTAAATATTATGATTCAATATGTTTGTGAGAAGTTATTGTAATATTGCTATGTGAATTGCTATATATATAATCTAGAGACACGGTAGTGTCTCGGCGCTAAGAAAAACGAAGCGTCATAGTATTATTATATCGCAAAATGAGAGTACTAATAAAATGATGACATAATTATCTGATAGATGATTAATAGATAAATATAATTGATTTACATTTTAATTGCAAACTACACTATTACAAGTGAAAATATTTGTCTTATTTTTTAGTTTGTATACATTTTTGGATCTCATTAAAAAGTTTTTTATAAAAAAGATTTCAGAACTTTCTTTTTAATTATATCTACCTATGTCAATTTATAATTTATAATTACCACAGCAAATTATTTATTACAATTCGTACGTAAAATAAGAAACATCTTTATTCATACATTTGTCATGATAGTATATATAATAATCAGGAGACAAGGTAGTGTCTCGGCGTTAACCATGCGCATAATAATATACATAATGATAGCATATATATGTAGATATTTTTCATCAAATCCTTATAATTGAAAACATAAAAAATTCTTAAAAATATTACGATATGAAAATTTTTTTCCTTAGAATTTCGTAAGAAAAAATATATAATTATGAAATTTTTTATCATTATTTAAATTTGTTTCAGAACAACTATGATAACCCAATACAATGAAATTTTTTTGTGCGTATTAATTAATTGCAAATTAATTACAAATTTGGCGATTATAAAAAGGATTACGTCAAAGATGAACAAATATGCGAAAACGCTTCGAAATTACGAACAGTCTCTCGATGATCATGCCTGGATTAAAGCGTCACGAATGACACGAGCTTTCGCGCAGCTTACAACGGAGTTACTGCGAAGGGATTGTAGGGAAGTATCTCGGTGATCCCGACGTGGGAATTCGGCCACCAGTTGCAAGCTTCGCGGCTGCGAAAGCGGTTGGACGGAAAGTCTGTGAAACATTTTAGATTATAGGATCTAAAGAAAAGGTCTCTCTTCCCTAAAAATAATAAATCGCATATATAATAAATGAAGTTTCGATCGCATTAAGTTACAGTAACGATTTTATTCTTTCAATATACTGAAAATTAATTCGTGATTGATTTACGGTGAAGCAAGAACTCAATTCTGCAACCAGCGTCTCATTTCTCGTTGATACACGCGAATGTTTTTTGCCGATTCTTCTTACAAAGAAAAAAAAATAAAAGGGAATTAAATCGAGAATAAATAAATAATTAATAATGATATCGTCGAACGGAGCTGCGCACCTGCCGAGGATAACTGCGAAAATTCGCGCATTTAAAATTTAATTGGATTCGACATCAGGGGGGTAAATATTTACACGCGTGTATTGGATTCGTCTGTGATCTGCTCCGGATTCGATGTGCGCGGGGACGAGTAGCGCGAAATCGAATCGCTTTACTGGATGGTAAATTTTGGAGATTTGAGAACGTTGTACGATGTGCAACGAATAAACATGTCGCGAAGAAGGTGAAGTGCACAAGAAAAGCGACGTCGCAACCGTCGATGATACTCAACCCGTAGGAAGAAACCAATTTGGATCGAGGCCAAGCCTGAGGAAATCTCATCCGTGAACATGGAGGAAGAAGGTAATTTTTTTAAAGAAAAGAAACTAATTATCAGAAGTTTCGTGTTAAAATTGTAGGAAGTAACAAATAGTCTCTAATGTAATAAATGTAATTATTCACTTTCAAGATTAGATTATAACTTAAGTGATTATATATTATTAAATTTTATAGAGAAATACATTATAAACAATTTTCGTATATTTTTTAGAATTTCTATTTAAATTTTTGAATATTTTTTAGAAATTATAATAATTTTATAATTGTTTATATATATATATAAAAAAAACTTTTTAGAATTTTTTAAGAATTAGAACACTTTCCAGAAGTGCTAAAAGATCTATTTTTCATAATTGTTTTTCGTAATTTTGTTAAGTTCAATATATAATATTAAATATTCGATATATAATATTATAATTAAAATTATGATTCGCAGTATATTTTATGCGATATTTGGATTTTGTTACATAATTATTTAAATATCACTAATATATATTATTATTATTATAATTTGCCATCAGATTTTTTAAAGCAAATTTTATGATATTTAAAATTAAATATAATATTCTAATGTATGAAGCTACAGACAAATGATATTATGTATTAAATTTGAATTTATGTGACATTTAAAGACGGATATAGATTTGTTACATATCTGCGTATCATATTAATATTGTACGTCAATATAAATTGGGGATTGTTGCATCGCTGCGTATCAAAATTATAATAAAATGATATGTGCATCACTAAATTGATATAATACGCAGATACTCAACAAGTCCGCTTAAAAAAAATTATTTATCCAAAATATACAGCAAATCATAATTTTAATACTAATTTTCTAAAATGATATAATGATAAAATTATTTATAAAATAGTACATGTAAAATTATATATATTAAAATTATAATTGACATAATATTCATAAACTTGTATGACAGTCGAGAACAAGCTGCGATATACAATATAAATAAATATTGTATTGCTGTGACAGAAGCGATTTTTTGAAAATATGAAATTATAATGAAAAAGTGCTTTTATTATATGATATGACAGCTTATACGAAATACATCATTCTTGCTGTTATAAATAAGATTTGAAAATATAAATGTGTGATGGTGCATGCAAATATTAAAAAATTATGATCTCCACATTACGTTTATGAAAAAATGAAAATTTTATTTTAAAAAATTGTTTATCAAAAGTAAAAAATATGTTAAAACGTTTCAGGTGTTTTTAGAAATTATATGAAAATTTATAGTGTTTATAGAAATCAATCTATCGAACATCGCAAAGCTTACACAATTGCGAAATACACAAACAGCTTAAAAAATTGTAGAAACTGTTTGTTGAATTTAGTTTTCATTTTAGCTCCTTAGATTTATAGTATGAGCTTCTCGCTGTCTCTAAATGCGAGGTCTGGTAACTGTAACTTTATTAAGTAACATTATAAATTATATACTATTGTGTAGTATATAATATTGAAAAACTCCTTTTGCAGGAGAAAAAATGTTTGTAGTTTTAATAATTTTTCTATAATTTTATATAATTCGAAATTAAATTTTGATACTTCAAGCATTAAAAATAACATAAAATTGACAATAGCTTCATTTAACAAAACTTAAAACAAATTTTTTATAATATTTATAATATATACTTATAATATAATATCTTATAATATCTACTTATAATACTATAATATATACTTATAATATAATATTTTATAATATAATATCTTATAAATATACACACTATCAATATTATGAATAAATTTGTTTTAGATCTCAATTAGATAAAGCCTTTGCCGGTTTTTATGTTACATTTAAATACGTTAATGCATCATCATACGAAGAGCTTTTTTATTATAAGTGCTTTGCAAAATGTTTCTCGTCTCAAAAACGTTCTTGCATAATTTTATTGCGCTTTCACTATTCCGCGTGCAAGACTGCGCGAATGTATTCATTTTAATAAATTCACATTTTAATAAATACTCGTTTTTTAAATATATTTATACAAGTATCAGTATACGTCACATAAATAGTAGAAAAATGTAATAGCAAAGAGAATTCGTTTAAACATACCGCACAGGACTGCGTTTAATTCTTGTGACTCTTTGATCCGGATATTTTCTCTCTTCTTTTCTTTTTTCTCTCGTTTTGCGAGATATTCCACGAGAAACGAATGAGCGAGCGTAAATTCCGTGGATTTAAAGTGCATCTGTATTCGCGATTGCGAGCTGGTATTATGTCGCATCGATGTTTTGCGACATGTGAAATCCGGTCCACCGTCTTCTTGAGCGTTTTATAATCACATCACTGCTCTGTATCGTCTTCCAAGCTTCATAATAGCAATTCTCGAGGAAACAAGACCGCTTAGCTCGTGTGTTGTCCTCGTCAAGCGAGTATTTTCCAGCATCACTATTATACTGGCATAAAAGGCACCTTTAACGGAGAAAAAAGTACTTATATTACGTTTCTTTATTTGTCATCGAGTTACATTTCACTTTTTCATCATAACGGAAACGATATTAATTAATTTTTCTTAAAACTTAATTTGCATAAAAGCTTTTCATGCTCCATGTCTCTAGGAAGTAAGTACACCGAGAGAAAAAATAGTTACAATTACCATAATTTAATTATAACTTATAATCAATTTTTGTGCAAACTATATATTTTTAGATAGATATAAATATAATTATTATTACTAATTTACATTATAAAGTAATAATGATAAAGATATAAGTATAATTATTATTGCTAATTTACAGTATAAAGTAATAATTATAAAAATGAAGTTTCTAATCTAATTTTTTTACTATGCAATTATAGTCATAAATACCAACAAACACTTTTCTCTCAGTGTATTTGTATTCATATTTATCAAGAAAAAATCGATGTAATATAAAATATACACCCACACAAAAGAGAATATAATAGATGCACTTGATATGTTTGGTTTTATATAGTACATAAATTAATTATAATTAATATATATTATATGTAATTATAATAATTATAATTAATATTATATTATATTTTTTTAAATTGTTCTATATTATATATTTACATATAAAAATGATATAAATCTATATAATCGAAAATACTCTTTTATTCCATAGATATTC